TGGTGTTCCTGGACGAGGTCACGCGAGTGATGAGGGCGAGGCATGCCTTCGGCTCCTGGGTGACGTAGTGGTCTGTGCGACGCCGCCGAGAGGGAGGGTCGAGCAGCTGTACGTACGGAGTAGGAGAGCGAGAGGATTAGACTAGCGAGTCTACTAAACCTCGTCAGCGCTCTCGACCGGTGGACATCCATTCCCTCGCGTGACGTGAGTGTCTTCACACATTATGGTGGTGGTGGCCCTCGCGTAGGCAATCGTTGGGTAGGTGGACCGTAATTCGCGACCTGGGCGGCGCGAAGCGCCCGGTAGTAGGCGATGCAAGACGCGGATGAGCACCTAGGGTTCACGCCGTCGGCCCGTGAAGAGGCGCGCACTTCCTCACGGGGTTGGGCGAGCCGTCGCGACGGGGGGGCGCGCACCATGGCGCTGCCGGCGGCAGCGGCAGCTGCGGCGGCGGCTCCGGCTGTGGCGGCAGCGGCGGCTCGGCGGGCGGCGACGGTGGCGAGGGTGGAGGGGAGGGCGAGGGCGGGGGGGGCGTCGACGGGGGCAGCGGCGGCGGCGGCGGTGGCAGCGGCGGCGGCGGCGGCGGTGGCGGCGGCTCCGGCTGTGGCAGCGCGGGCGGCGGCGGCGAGGGGGGCGGCGGCGGCGAGGGAGGCATGATTGCCTCAACCATAGCGGAGTGCGCCGCCGGACTCGCCACTTCGATCTTCGCCTCGGCCGCCTTGAGGGCACTCTCCGCGGAAGCCTTGAGACCCTTGACCGCCTCCTCGTGCGCCACCGCCTCCGCCACCGCTTTTGTGAGGGAAGGCACCTACGTGTGTGACAGAGGTCCGGGACGGTCCGCGACAGGTCCGGGACAGGTCGAGAGGAGCAGCGCCGCGGCAGCACCTCCGCGGGCGCGGCTGACTGCAGCCGGGTCTCGGCAGCTCTCTTCGCCACGTCTGCAGGCCTCTCCATGGCGGTGGCGAGCGCCTTGTAGGTGAGCGCGCGAGCGAGCTCGATCTCTGCAGCCTGCAGCGCCCCGATAGCGCCACGGTGCGTGAGGACGATCGACGTCGGGAGGTTGAGCTGCAGCAGGGTCGGCGCTGACGCGCTCGCAGTCTCCTCTAGCGCCGCCACGGCCAAGGCCGTGATCTGCCCTTCCAAGTCCTTCGCCGCCTGCGCCGCCGCCGCCTCTGCGGACTCCGCAAACACCACCGCCACCTTGGCCTGCTCGACCGCCGCGGGATCGCCCGCGGGCGCCGCTTTAAGCGCATCTTCCGCCTTGGCCAGGACAGCCTCAGCCCTCCACGCGTCCATCTTGGCCGCCGACAGCTGATCCGGATAGGCCCGCAGCGCGGCCACCGCCGAGCGGAACCGCGGCGGCGGGGCTGGCGAGGCGAGGGGCGAAGGAGCGGGTGGAAGAATGGGCCTAGTCGCCGTCAGCTTGACGTAGCAAACCGGGAAGTGGAAGCCTGCCGTAGCACATGGCACGGTGTGGTCGATGGGCTCCGAATGCAGCTCGCAGCGAGCGATAGGTGCGTGGGCCAGCGCGCGGATTTTGATCGCCGAGTGCTCGTACGCTTGGCATTTAGGGGTCTGCTCGCACTGGCGGCGGCACTCGAACTCGGTCTTTTGCCACTTCTCCTCGTAGATGCCGTACGAGCGCTTGGTGGCGCAGCAGCCTTCCGGCTTGTAGCCGTGAGGAGGCCCCCACTCGACAAACTGGGACTGGGCGAGGACGAGGGCACACAGGAGCTCCTGCAAGTGCATTGAGTCTTGACACGGCTGCGGAGAGCTCGACAGGGCGAGCCCCGCCGAAGGTGGCCCAACCAACGAGTGAAATATGCGCTTCGAGGGCGTTCGTTTGGCGAGACGCCGACCGCGCGTCGTGAATTCTTCTCCCTGAACAGATCACAGATTGTGGCTATGCTCCAGGCTGATAGCCTAACGATTTGGAGGGGAAAAAGGTGGACGTTTTCACACCTAGATTCCCGCCGATTTCTGCGATCTCTGTGATCGATTGCAGCAGCGCGCGAATAACTCTCGATCACTCAGCATCCGCAATTGCGTTGAGGGGTGTGTGTCAGTCCGGCCCACCGCGTTTAGTTGAAAAGCCATTTTCTTTTTTTCCCACTTCTTGGGCAAGCTAGGTGATGAACGAGGTGGAGGTGAATGAGGCGGACGGCGTTGGGGACACCGGGCTCGCCTGGGCGATGAGACAAGGCCACGAGGACCTGGCGCGATTGCTTCGCCAGCGGGGAGCAGAGGCCCGGTGGAATTATCAAGTCGTCGAGTGATCCGGGCGCTTATTGTTGCTTGTTCGGACAGAGCGGAAAGATCATCATACGTCTTGTCTTGGTGTGGCGCGCGCGGGATCGTCGAGACGGCCGAGTGGTGTTACGTGAATTCTCCCGGGGAAAAGGGGGCTAGGTGTGCTGAAAACCAAAACGGAGTGGTGTCAGACCTAGAGACTGCGCTATTATGTCCTCCGAGGCCTCTATAGTACGTGCACCATAACACTCGTCCGACTCCGACACAGGGTCTCGCGTCTCCGGTCGGCGCCGTGTCGCGTGTGACGTGTTCAGGAGTTGAGTGGGCCCAGCCTGCCGCAAGCCGGCGGTCGTGCCAGCCCCGCACGAGCGGCGCTGCGCGCCGTCGCACCCCGGCGGGCGTCATTCTCTCGTCGTGAGCACAAAGAGCCCCATGATGCCAACCAGGGCATACCTGCGACAAAGGGGGCGGGGGCCTTAGGCACGGCGGTGCTCTCGGACCGCCCCCCCCCCCCCCCCTTCCCGCCAGCCCGCCGCTGTTGCCGGGCGCGGGCGGGGCACACTTGACGAGCGGGTAGTCGTTCATGATGATAGTGACCATGCCGATGTACGGGAGGTAGCCTGCAAAAGGAGATGCCAATCCGGGCAAGGTGCGGGGGGGAGAGGAGTGACAAGGAGTGGCACGGCGAGGCGAGGCGAGCCTTTAGCGCGGCCAATGACGTGCTGCTTGTTGATCCAGCTCTGGCCGGCGGCATACCTGACGCCGAGGCGAGGGAGAGGGAGACGTCAGTGGCTGACCAACCCCCCCTCCCCCCCACCCCCCCTCCCCCCCACCCCCCCTCTCCCCCCGGGCCTCGGCGCCGCGCTGTGTGAAAGGTGGCCTGACAGACCGCCACGGCGTCTGTGTCTCTCCCATCTACGGGCGCGCACAAGCCGCGGTCGTCGACCGCGTTGTTGTCCCCTTTCGTGAGGACGTCCACCTCGCCGCTCACCTTCCGCACAATGGCAACACAACATTGGTATCGCTGAACCTCTCTCTGCTAAAACTCTCTCTCGCTCTCTCACTCTCTCTCTTTCGAATGGGCAGGAGTGATCCGCTGACCCCTTTGGGGCGAGGTACGTCCACCTCGCCGCCGGCACTCCACCTCTGCCGGGAAGGCTGGGTGGGTTCGGGTACCGCGGGGTAGGGGAGGGTGGGTTCGGGTACCGTGGGGGTAGGGGAGGGTGCGCGCCGCACCTTCTCGTGCACTTTGAGGATTCGGTGCACGATCGGGATCTCTCGGTCAGCCACCTGGCGGGCGGAACCGGCAGGGTAGGAGGGCGGGGCAGGGGCGAAGTGGAGGTGGAGGGCGAGGGTGAGGGTGAGCGGCGAAAGCAACGAGGAGACGGAGGATTCTTCTCACTCATTAGGCGCCGTGAAGACCAGCATCATGGTCACGTCATGAAAGAGTATGCATTCTGCTGTGAGGCGCCTTGAAGACGACGATGTCGCCCGCGCGGAACGGGGCGTGGCCCATGTGCAGAAAGAGAATGTCGCCTACGGCTCGGACAATCTCGCGAAATCTCGCGAAATCGCGGGGAATCTCGCGGAATCTCGGCGAATCTCGTCTCATCTCGGGGTTTGCCGCGGTGGGAGGCCGGCTCCATGCCGCCAGAATCTCGGGCGATCTCGGGCGATCTCGGCTCATCTCGCCGCGATGGAAGGCCGGCTCCATGCTGCCAGAGAGCACGACCACTACCTGCGGCAAAGCGCGGCACCCGCCACACACGCTGTCAGTGGGAGGTGGGGCGGTGCGAGGCGCGAAGGAGGAAGGGAGAGAGAGGTGGGGGGGGAGGGGGGGGGGGGGGAGCGAGGAGGGAAGGAGGAGAGAGTATCAAGGAGGAGAGAGGAGAGAGGAGGAGAGAGAGAGAGGAGAGAGGGGGTGGAGATGGGAGGAGGAGGGAGGAGAGGAAGATGCTCGGCCATCGTGCCGCGCACCGGGCTCTCCGACTCGGTCACCTGGCGAGGGCAGCGGCGAGGGGGAGCGCGGCGTGAGCCCGTCAGAGGCGGTGGGCCAGGGGAGGGGGGTTTGAGGGAGGCAGAGGGAGAGGGAGAGGGAGAGGGAGAGGCAGAGGCAGAGAAGCTGGCTTGCGCACCACCATCAGGCCCTTCCAGATCATCAGCGCCTGGAGCGCGCAGCGACGCGGCGCGTGGGCGGGCACGTCAGTCACTCGCGGGGGAGGGCGTGCTTGCGTGCGGTGTGAGGCAGAGATCAGCGACGGGTGACTCGCATCTGCGGCAACGCGCGCACCGAGCACACAATCATGGCGAGGTTGAGGACCTGGTGCGCCATCTGTAAAGGGAGGCGGCCGTCAGAGCGGTGCGTCCTCCACCTTGCCCGTCGCCACCGCCGTCCCACCCGAGTGTGCGAAACACAACGGGCAATGCGCGCCTGCCGCTTTCGCATGTCCTTCAAAGTGTGGTACATGTCCATCACGCCATCCATCATCGACATGTTGGCGCCCGCGTACCGCAGCGGCTTGGAAGCTGAAGGCGCTGAGGTCTGAGACGCCTGTCTCACGACAGTGGACCTCTCGCCCGCCACGCCGCGCCGCGGCTGCGATCGTTTCTTTTCCCCCCTTCCGAAGAAAGAAAGACGCCACCACGAACTGGCGGGCGGAATGAGAAAACATTACATAAGAGCACCGCCTGACAGGGAGTAGGACGATTGAACCCCTTCGCCGCTTTCCTCCCACTGTGAATTTGTGTGAGCTCGGTGCCTTGATCTCAGATCTGCTAACAACGAATCAACGAACCTACACCTAACAGTTGACTGGCGTCTCATCCATGACCACCCTCCCCCTCCGCCGCCCGCCGCGGCCGCGGCTTCTGCAGAATGCGGTACGAGAAGCCGACCGAGCCGTCCGGAAGCTCCTGCGGAGGGGCCGGAGGAGTCAGCTAGGATGAGTCAGGGTCCGTAGCGAAGGCTCCGAGTGAGCAGGGGCGGCGGCGGCGGCGAGAGCGGCGGCAAGAGCAGTGGCGGCGGCGAGGGCGTCGTCGGCCCTCCGCGGTCCGGTGGCGAGGGCGCGGGGTGGGAGGCGGCGGCGGGGGGCGGCGCTCCTCTGGCTCAAACTCGCCCGGGCAGAGCTCCGGCGAGCAGCACGAGGCGCCGTAGCCCTGGCGCGCGTAAAAGGCGAGGGCGGCGCGGTTGGCCGTCTGCACCGTCAGCACCACCTGGCGGCGCGAGGGGGCGAGGGAGGCTAGGTCGGCCGGCGGGGCTGCCAGCTGAGCGTGCGGGCTCTGCGAGCTGGCGCCGCCGCCGCGCCTGCGCGAGCCCGCGGTCCCACGCCAGCGCCTCGGCTGCTGCGGTGAGCCGCGCGCCGAGCCCGCGCCGTTGGGCGTGCCTCGCCAGCTGCAGCTCGGTGACGTAGAGGGCGGGCTCGCCCGCCTCGACCGAGAACTCGCACTGCACAAACCCGAGCAGCGCGTCCCGCGCGTCGAGGAGGAGGAGGTAGAGAGGTTCGCCGACCGCGCAGCCCTCCTCCGCGTCCGCCTCGTCCCACCCCGACGCCGCGAAAACCTCGTCCATGTTGTCCCGCACCAGCGCCGCCGTCGCACGCTCCAGCTCGGGCGGCAGGGCAGACGCGCGGCACGGCCGCAGCGTAAGGTCCGGAAGCCCAGCAAAGGCCGCCGCTGCCGCTGGAGACAGGCCCTCCGCCGCCGCCGCCGCCGCGACGACGTCGGCTGCGTTCCGCCGAGGAGGCATGATGTGTAAATCGGTCTCCTTTCTCGCTAACGAAAACGCGACGGGGCCGGCTTGGAGGGCCACAGCCGCTCAGGGTTCCGGCTCCTAGCCAGATAGGGGGTCTGATCACTCGCACCCTCGCCGCCCCCCGCGTCGCCCGCGGCGGGCAATAGCAGGTCGACGTCGGCGCCAAGCGCGCGGCCGCCGGGCGCCTCCTAACCGACAGGGCCCCCCCCGGCATTCGAGAGCACTCCACCCGGCCATACCGTTTTTATATTACCATACCGTTTTTCTGGCGGGTCAGATATCGGTCAGTGTGTGTGTGAGTGAGTATTCTTGATGCGAAACCACGACGACACACACCAGTCGACTCGCATCGGTTGCCTCCATGAACGGCGGAGCTATTCTCGCGCCCACACCATGAGCGGATTCTCCAGTGCCGGAAGGGCCGAACAGAAAGCGTTCACCCAGAAAGATAGATGGATACAAGAGAGGCGAGGCCTTGCTCATGAGAAAATACCTGGGATCTCCAACGCGGCCAAAGGATATCCACCTCGAGAACCTCGAGAGAGCTATCTCCCCACCCTCGCCGGGAACGGCGTTTCAGACTTCTCGGCGGTACTCCGTCAGTATACTACTAGTAACTCCGTCGGCGGAAAGAGAGGTCCGCACTGAGAGATGCAGCGAGAGCGGTCGACCTCGTCGGACGACGACAATCCCACTCTCACGCCCCACAAGAGGCATCGCGGGGGCGCCCGCCCGCGGGTTGTATACTCCAAGTCGTACAAACTCCAAGTCGTGCGCGAAGCGCTGACGAAGGACCCGCGAGCGAGGATCAAGCCGACTTGCCACAACCACCCTGGCGTGGGTCCGGTGAGCCAACCGAGTCCGCCCCTGCATATCCCCCGCCAGCCCAAGGCTGGATCTCTCCGGTCCCGCGTCCTTTCCCCACATAGATTCCACTCTTGACCTTCTCGCGCTCCCTGTGGGCTACCCGCAGGCGCAGCTCAGGAAGTGGATCAAAAAGAAGGACACCCTCGAGGTTCAGGCGAGGCTGGAGCGGCAGGTGCTCAAATGTCGCGACGACCGCGAGTACCTTCGCACCGTCGCGCTGACTGGGCTCGAGACGCGAGGCGGCGGCGGCGGTGGAGTTTCCGAGCCCCAGGCTGCTCCTCTCCCGTCGCGACGGGCGGCCGCCGCAGTGACGCCGCAAAAGCTCGGGGCCCACTCCTGCATGCCTGTCGCCCTGGCCACCACTGCTGCTGCACCATCCGCTTCGGCGCCCTGGCACGTGGTGCAGGCGTTTCCGTACCCGATGATGCCGTCGCCGCAGCTGGCGCCTGTGCATGCGCCTCTGCTGGCTCCAACGAGGGCGGCCTGGATGATGCCCCAGATGGCGGCGCGGCCCACCCCCTCCGACATGCTGGAGCAGATCATCATGCCGTACCCGCTTCACCACCAGCTCGAACTTCCTGACCCCGCCGACGAGATCCCCCTCGCGGCACCTCTCGACCGCCTCGCGGGCCGTCGGCGCCCCGTCCGGCGCCGCGAGACACCGGGCTTGTGGTCGCACCTGTAGGCGGCCGTCGTCGAGTACCCGTTCCCCAGCCAGCTCCCCGCCGTGCGCGCCTGAAGAGCACGCGCGAGGCCGAGAGCAGCGCGGGAAGGCAAGCGGAGAGCCACCCGCACGCGGAGAGCCCAGCCGCGACGTAGCAGCGGGTGGGAAGGAGCGGCACGCCCCCAGGCCCACCCGCCAGCCGGGTGGGGCTTGCACGGGAGCTGCGCTCATTTTCTTCTTTGCACTGGCGGGAGTTGGCCTTTACACCATATTCTCGAATATCTTTGAGAATATAGCGAGGGTCCCGCGCACTTCCATATTCGAGAATATTCTCGAGAATACGGCTTTACAGATGCCCCGGCCGGCTTTTCCCTCAAGAATATACGAGCTTTCCGCAGCCCTTGACCTTAGTAGACCTCGAGTCCAAAGATATTCTTGAATTTCTTGACGTTGCCGCTGTGCGGCGTCTAAAACGGTCTTGACGAGAGAGCTCGAAACAGCTATTCCCCCTCCAAAACTTAAAGATTTCAACAAAACAACATCCCTCGTCTGTGTGACGAACATCCCTCGTCTGTAATACTTTATGTGAGACAAACCCAGACGAGGGATGGGGGAGGAGGACAGGGTCCCCACCTGCACGAGCAGGATTTTGGACCTGTAAAGAAAGAAAGAAAGAAAACAGACAACCCAAGGGAGGGATGGGAGAACGGCACGCCGCCACCACACAGGGATTTTAAGGAGAGGAGTGTGATGCGCTAGCCGTCGCCTACCCTAGGGAGTCTGCCTCTTCCTATCTCTCTTCGCAGTCTCTCTCCGATTCTCGCTTCAACCTTCGTGCCACCTCGCGGCCGTCCCACTCTCGTCGCTCTCTCCCTTGTCACTTCCTCCTCTGTCGCGTCGTTCTCTTCTGTCTCGTCCTGCGGCGCCGCCGCCTGCCGGTCCCTTGTTCTCGCGGCTTCTTTCGCCTTTCGGCGCAACTCCGTCCTCCTCGCGGCGTATCCTGGCCCCTCGAGTCTATCGAGCTCCCCTCGCGCAAGGACCTGTGTTAGTGCCAGTGCGGCCGCGTAAAATTCTTCTTTGCAGCGAGTAGAGTTGTTTTCTTTAAATTCTTCTTTGCAGCGCGCGCACGCATTTGTGCTTGCCGCTGCGTAAGTCAGTGACCACGCGAGTACGGTTCTTACCGGTACTTGTAGCGGCGCTCGCGAGTACGCGGCTCGCTTCTGGACT